GGGTGGCACACAGGGCACTGGTGCTGGGGTCATGCCCTGCAGCAGTGTGGGCCACAGTGCCATGTGAGTCAGGGTCACGCCCAAGCCTCACGGGAGAGAGCCCCACATGGTGCTGCCTGCACCCCTGAGTAGCCCCCTTTCTTTGCAGCTGCGCCACTGGCTCCTGGTGTAGCACAACAGTGAACTGGGAAGCCGGGCAGGTCCTTGCCAGGGAGAGGCGCTCGGAGAAAGAGGGCCACCCCACCCTGGAACCTCAGCTTCACGGAGAGCAAACACCCAGGGACCGGCTTGCTGTGTCCCGTGTGGCATGAGAACCACACTGATCCCTTCAACGAGGTCAACTGGTTGCCATCATGCCTGGCCGGTGGCCCCTGCAGCTCGTGTGGCCCATGGCCTGCAGGAGGACTCGGCTACTGTACATATACCATGCGAGTCCCCTTGCCCACTGAGGCCACATGGGCCACTTGTGTTGCTCAGATTTAAAAGCCAAGTCCCCTGCATGTCTGAGCGGGCAGAGATGGAAGGAAAGAGACCAGATCTGTGCAGTCCTTTTCCTGGGACCAGAGGGTGCCACTCACCTGTCGCACACGTGGGCTTCACCCAGGGCTGTGGAGGACCAGGGCTGGTGTATGCGATGGACGCGCTGCTTTCTAGCAACAGAGAGAAGTATTTCTCCTGGGAGCCAGCTCAGGCTGCTGCTACTCCTGGTCAGCCTGGCCCTGCCACGCTGTGGGCTTGACCAGAAAACATCCCCCCCAAGGCCACCTGAGTGCCCAGAGCCCACTGTCTGCCTGGCTAGGGCTGTGACCTGTGGGGTCGCAGGCACATGTGACGTCTTGGGACACTTCACCTGCTAGGAACTGGCATTTTAAATCCTATTTATCTGTGTCCAAACAAATTCTCCAAATACATGGTTGTTGGCTGATGCTCTGGGTTTTGTTTACAAGAATAATTAGCAATACCAGGGAAGCCCGTGGCCGAGTCCCACCTGCCTCGGCCACCCTCTCAGCACACTGGCCACCCTAGGGCTCAGCGGGGCCTGGCTTACCCCGCTCCTGCGGGGCGGCTGAGCAAGCTCCCATCTATGCTGGTGTCACAGAGCCATGCGGCCCTTGTGCTGCCCAGAGGGGCAGCTGCCACGCAGGAAGCGCACCTCAGCCTAGGGACAGGTGGACGTGGTGGGGAACCTGGCTGTCGCCTGCCTGCGGGGAGATGGGGTGCAGTCTCGGCTAAGAGGGACCAGGTTTGCCATCACCCGCCTGAGGAGCGGCTCCATGTAGAAGCCAGGCATCATCAGCCTCTGTCTCTGTCCCGTAGTGAGTATCATGTGTGGGTCCTGTGAACAATAAATGAAATCTGTGTTTGAAAAATGCCCTGCCGAGTGTCTGCGTGTCTGCCTGGCCCTGTTGTCCTGTGAGGCCCAGCTCCCCTGAGGAGGTCACTCTCACCCCTCAACCAACTGCACACCTCCCAGGGCCAGGCAGGTGTAGGGAGGACCCCACCCTCTCCAGGATGTGCCCCTGAGGTCACCTGTGGGTGCACATGGCACCTGCTTTGTGTCCCACCTGCACATTCACTGGGCCTCAACTGCTGCCCAGCCCCCAGCCCCTTCCTTGCACTCAACTCGGGCCCCACAGCCCAACCACCATGACTGCCAGCCCAGAGCCTTCTGCAGCATGGCCTGGGGCTTCTCTGTGGCTCTCAGCCCTCATCCATGATGTCCCCAAGGACACTGGGGACTCTGGAGATCCAGCTATACAAGGTCATCCTTCAGGAGGCACGTGGTCAGTCACTGGTCACTTAGGTGACACAGGGTCCCTTGCAGACCAGGATCCATGAAAGACATCGGTCACTTCTGACAGCGTCCCCAGCAGGGGTCCCACACCTGCCCCACAGGTAGGCCTTCGCACCTCCACCCACCTGATGACCCCTGCCACAGACCTGGGAGGAGCACCAGGCCTCTTTCAGGCCTCTACCCAGTCTGGCCCAGTCCTCACTGCTTGGCCTCGGCCACAGCCCCTGGAGGCCCAGCACAGCAGCCTCAGGGTGATTCTACTATGGCTCAGGCATCATGGGATCACCTGTACTGAGGGGCTCCAGCACTGGCCGGATGGCACCCTGTGAGCAAGCACCCCCAGACAGACTACACCTGGTGCCAAACCCATTGAGGTCCCCCTCTCAGCCCCACATGCGGAAGAGAGAGGCCTCCAGGAACTGGCTGGGACCCAACACACAGACATGATACTGTGGACAGGCACCTTGGAGACAGCACAGGTTGGGGTTCCAGGACCAAGACAGCCACTGTACACCCCAGCACCTACACCACTTGCAGCTCCAGGTGACCAGTGGGAGGGGCTAGGTGCAGCACCGTAGTCCAGATCCCCTCTGGGTGCTGGTCCAAGTGATCCTACAGGAAGTGTGAGGAAGCATGGGGGTGGGCAGTGGTTGTACTGCGAATATGCAAAGAGCTTCAGGAAATTGATGAATTCCAGAATTCCCAGCAGGGAAAGGATGGAAACCATGAGTAGGGCTGTGCTGTTAGAAAACATCTGAAGCTGGAGAGATAGCTCAGTGATACAATGCCTGTCTGGCAAGATCAGGGTCCTGAGTTTGATTCCCAGTACCAAAACAAAAAAAAAGTCTAAGAAGAAAACACCTAAATTATCAGCTGGTGAAGAACATGGTGTTGGGTTCACGGTTTGGGAGGGTTTGGTCCGTGGTTGGCTCCAAGGCAGGCATTGTGGTGATTGTGTGGCAGAACACATGCCTCAAAGCTGGAGTTCAGAAGAGAAGCGAAGGAAGAGACCACTGTTGTCTCCTTCCAAGAGTGTGGTCTCAGTGGCTGAAGCCCCACCTCCTCGGTAGCAGCACTCTGGAAACCATCCCTTTCGGGTGAATCCCTGGAGACACTTCAGGTCTGAACCCTGACAGGCATGTTGCACTGGTATGCATCAGATGGTCCAAAGAGAAAGATGCCAGCTTGATCTATTAATGAGGAAATGCACGGATACCCACCCACCACAGTGGAGTCTGCGGCCCTGATGCCACCGTCAGGGGTGCAGCAGGAGGATCAGGGAGCAACTCTGTCCAGAGAGCAAACTGTGATAGTGGCTAGGGTGGTGTGTGTGGCATTAGCCCAACAGC